AAAGTCTTGTTCTCCTGAAGCCTGAATGAGTTGCACTTGTCTATGGATCTAGAAGAGTCTGAATATTAATAAACTCGCATATATGACACATTTACAGGATAAGATCCACACATGTACATGATAATTAAAACAAGCACACAAGATTTACACATTCATAAGAAAAGATTCAGATAAATATGTTTAACTGTATGTAAAAGAACCACACCACCAGCCATTCAAAGACTGGCTTTTTTGCACTAATTGCACTAAAAGCTCTATTGTTAAGCTACTAAAAGAAATGCTTTATGCAGAGCTGAACTGTTAAACTTTTGTCAGTATTAGAAATGAAACATATCTACTTTTACAGGCAATACTGTATGCCTCATTGCTATCTCTTTTTTGTGCTACAATTAGTGTCAGAGGTTTGAAAGTAAAGCTAAATGTTTATAGCTTTCAACCAATCTAATGACTCAATAACTTAAATAATCAGTTAAATACAATAAATTATACTGGTATGTTCACTGATCAGGTAAAAATTCAGATGTTTCAGTTTCTAACTGACTAAATAAGCTGAAAATTAACTGATTCTCGTCACCAGTTGATTTTTCTGTGCATCTCTAGTGAAAGCTTTGTTGTTTATAAATTTCCACAACAATATATTTCCATCATATTGAAAATAATGATAATTATTTGTGTATAAAAAGACTCCAAGAAGCTAAATACCTTATCAAGTAGTGCTCCAAAACCCCACCTCTGCATGCAGCATGCAGGCCCCAGCCTAGTACCAGTTTGTTTGTCAATTGGTACTGGGCCGCACTAAAACATTAACTTCTATTATTTACAACAGATGTATTTTTTGCGTCTGAACGGTTTCTGTGTTGAATAATGACCAGATTCTCACCATTACATCGGTCTATATCACATTCTTGACGTATGTCAGCCATGGCACCGTAGGTCACGTGATTCCTCCTGCTGTAAACTCCCAGCATCTCGGTGCAGCAAAACAAGTTCAGGGCTCACTTAATCACTACTATTGTGAGTGGTCAGCAGGCTGTTTTCATGCACATTGTTTTTGAGTTGGCTTATTTCTAAAGCCATATTTAATGTTACCATAGTGGCTGGTAACCATAGCACTACACCTATATGCCAGTCTGTGAAAATATGGTCCAACATTAAAAAAGTTGATGATGTATGGTGCTATGACCAATATAAGGGATTTCTGCCATTTCCACTCTGGATGGTTTCTATCTAACCACATAGGGTGTGTTCTTGGACTGTGATCCAGATTAGTCCACCAAAGTTCAGCCACCAAGATCATATTGGATTATATATATACTGTATGAATTTTTGAAATTTAAAAATAATTCTTGTTTGTGTCTAATGGGATACATAGTTTGACCCTTGTTGACCCCAAGGCCCACAGTGTGATTTTCTCATGGCTCTCTGATCTGTGTCTTCTCTCTAATGCTTCTGGAGGCTGGAAGAGATGAGCTAAAATGAGATGGGAAGTTTGTCGCTCTAGTTGACGAAGCATAAAGAGAGGAAAAATATTTAACTCCTATGTCTGACACCTCTACCGCATTCATTTCCCATCCCCCTCTGTCGCTTTCGCTCATCCACTCTCTTCCCTCCCTTCCTTTTCTTTTCTTGAGGATTCTTTCCATCCAGTCTCACCTCTGCTGTCTCTCTCTCTTCCATTTCCTCATCTCCTTGTCAGTCACCTTTCATGTCTTTCGTTCTCATCCTTTCTTTGTCGTCTTCGTCCTCTAGCCCTGATAGACGTCTGTTCAGGTCTGTCCTTGAAACAGTCTTGAAACTATTTTTGTTATTTTAGAGAAATCACTCAATGCTGGAGCTTAAAGATGGAGAGGAAGAGGAAAAAAGCAATGCAAAGATGAAACAGGGAAAGACGGAGAGGGAGGCTGAGGAAGAGACAGAAGGAAACAAAGAAGTAAGACAGAGATGGAGGAGAGTAGTTTGAGAAAGGCGAGAGTGGTGGATGGATAATCTCAGACAGATGTGAGGTTGATTTTATTGTTTCTCGCTTCTGTGTTTGAGCTCATATGTTGGAGCTTTGAGGTGACTTAGCCCATTCATCCCCAGACAATCATGGAGCCTCCTGCACCCGTGATGTATGAGCCGACGATTAAAGCTGCCGGCCACGCGCTCTCTTGGTGGAAGAGCATTAGTTTGTTTATGCCGTACGTTGTTAGTGCTGCTGATATCACTTCAAAAAGTGTACACAGGGAGAGAGCCAGGAGGAGGAGGGATTCACGCTCGTCCCGCCTCCCCTCCATCCCTCGCACATAAAACTGAGGCAGCCAGAGCCGGTTGTCACTCCCGCTGAAGAATGAGGTCCTTAAAGCACCTGAAACTTCACAGCAGGAGGAGTGTGGTGAGTTCACCGGCTCTAACTCGTACCATGTTCAGATTAGAGATTGGTGGATGATTGGTCGGTGGTCGTCTTCCTGCTCAGGTTGTGTTTGTTTGGGTCAGAAGTTGCTTCATCAGATTCTCATTCATGCAGATTTTTCTCAGATATTCACTTATGATCTTTCTTCTTTAGAGCCCTTTAAAAAACTCTTTATTTCTTGTTCTTGCTCTTCCAATTGTTTTTTTTTTTTTTACCTCAGTTTTTATTCAGTCCGGCTTTCATTTTGCATTTCTTTTCCTTCCTCTGTCTCCAGTTTACCCACTGTCTCTCCCTCTCGTCCATTTCTCTGTCTGTAATCATCTTTCCTTCTTTCTCCCTCTTCTTTCTTTTGGGGGCTGCTTACCTCTCTTCTTTTAATGCCTTCCTTTCTCTAAGTAAATCCCTACCTTTTATTTATCTCTCCTCTGTTCTGCTCCTTCACTAGACTACTGTCTACTCCAAGCCCCCCTCCCTTTCTTTCCTTGTCCTCTTCTGATCTTTTTCCTCTCTTGCTGGTTTCTATATTTTATTTCTTAATCTTGCTCTGCTTTTTCCCCTCTTTCCTCCACCTCCCCTGCACTCCAGTATGTGTGGAGATCAGTAGGCCATCTAATCCCCTCAGCACTCACACCATACATAGTTATAACGGTAGATTAGGATGCTGTCTTTCATACTTCCTGTGTCTCAGTCCCTACATCTTAGGGTTTGCTTTAGACGGGCAAAGCTTTGTCTTTATTCCTGACCTAAAAACTACAGCTCTACGGATCAGAGATTTTGTAGATAATATCGAGTGACAAATTTCTCCATAGCTCAGGCGTGGTAAAAGCAATATTAGCGCACTCAGATTTCTTTTAAAAAACTATTAGCTACAAAATATTTATGAACTTTTTAGATAGATTAAAAATTGAACTGTCCTCACAATAAAATTTGAAATGATTCCAGAGCTGTTTCTCTTTGCATCCCTGAAAATAATCTACAAATTGTTTAACATCAAGGAATAAAATCCACCTAAAACTGATGAAGATTGCTGACTCCTTTGCCAGACAGATTATACCATAAATGTTCTTCATATAAGTCTGTTCTGACTCATATCAAAAGATCATAGAAAAAATACCAGTCTGTTCAGGTTTGATTTGAGATAAAAAGCTCTGGTTTCCTGCTATATGTTTAGATTGTAGAAGAATGAAGCAGTTTAGAGTCAATATACAGGAGAATAAAACACTTTTTTGTGATTAATTAATGAATATATCAATCAGGACCACACTTAGCTCTGCATGTAACCTGGTTTTCCTATTATATATTAAACAAAACTAGATAATATGAGAGTGGACATTTTAAACTGCCTTCAGCGTGATGGGCCCAGTTCATACTTTCTATTCACTCTTTAAAAGCTCTGTTTAGTACTGAAAAATGCAAATTGAGTATACAGTATTTCTGGCTATTTTTCTTATCTAATTATTATTATGAGTTAAATATCAGAATTTCTGGAAAAAATAAATTGTTTCATTTGAATTATTTTTCTGTTTGGTTCATTTCAACTTTATCTCTGATTTTGGAATTACAAACAGATACTCAACGCTGTACTCTTTCAGATATAAAAAGGACCATTTATTAGCTTGTCTGGCACTAAATCCTCTAACTTCTGAGGTTTCTAAAAACTGTTTGACCTGGATGCCAAAAAAACTAATTTTTTTATTTCCATGTTTGAATCTACTTAGATTAAGCAGTCTAAAAAAATATTCCTCCTGCGATCCAATTATTACGATGCCTGAACTGAGGGTGAATAAACACCAAATAATAAACAGAATAAAAGGTTGATTAATTCTGAATATTGGAAGGTGTTTGGTAAAAGTTTAATCTGTCAGTGTGGAGCAGCACAATGCTTTGAATCACAAATGTCATCTCAGTTTCTACATCAATGGACTCCTTGGATGCCGTATTTTGTAGGATGTTATGTTATATACCCATTCATCCACACGGTTTACATTTGATCACTGCTGCGCTATATGGAATGGAAATGTTCATTTCACTGCTAATCTGCTGCTCATTCACTTTCATTTTGTATAAACTGCGTGTGTCTGTACAAAATGACAATAAAAGTTGTATAAGTTTAAGAAAACATTAGAGGGAACCAACTCAAAAAAGTAATTTAGCCAAAATTGTTGTAAAAAATAAACTCTATCTGAATTTTAAGATTAGAAAAGCCTTTGTGGGCTTGCAGGTGGCGCAGTGGTTTGTGCGCACGACCCATGTGCAGTGGCCTTAGTCCTCGATGTGGGCGACCCGGGTTCTAATCCAGACGGTGGTCCTTTCCTGCATGTCTCTCCCCCTCTCTCATACCCCCTTTCCTGTAAGCATACTGTCAAAGAAACGAGCCACTAGTGCTGTAAAAACTAAAAAAAACCTTTGTTTTTAAATGTGCTCCAGTCTGGACTCAAGTGGAACTTTTAGCTTCACCTGATTATAATTCTATAAGAAAATAAAAAAATAAACACCTTTTGCAATCTTGCCAAAGAGGAAAATCTGACATTTTTAGAAGCTTCTTTTTTATTTTATTATACTACTGAAACATCATTTAAGAGAATGAATTGTCCTTTTTGTTTTCCAGGAGGAGGCGAGCCGGCGCCTGGGTAGATGTGAGCCCAAGGTAATGGCCAGGCTGGTGGACATAAGCACACAGACAGATCCCGTAGTTGTGCTGTCCTTGGCCCAGGCCGCCGTGCTAGGTCTCATCTCCCAGAATGAAGTGTTTGGAGCTACCATTGCACCCAACGGCTTTTACACCGGCGAACCCAAAGAGTCCCCTGCACCACCAGTAGACGGAGTTGACTACGAATACGCGGATCAGCTTATCGGAGCCAACGGAGATTACCTCGGAGACAACTTAGGAGAAGACGGCCAGATGCAGCCCAGCTGCAGCCAGAGGAGGTGGCAACAGGTGCCGCCACCACAACATGTTGACACGAAAATGGTCCTCCCCGATCGTCACACCCTTCAAGGCGGTGACTTGACCGCATCTCTTGTGAAAGGGGAAGGGGTGACCACTGCTATGTCGTCTTGCGTCCACATGTTGAACAATATGGCTCCCAGAGGAGGCCTAATTCAAGTGGATCCGGCCACACTGAGAGTCCCCAACAAGAACTGTGCCGAATGCGAGCGGGAAGTAACCAACCAGCAGCAACCTAACCATCATGTCCATCCTCCTCCTGCCCAGGTGGTTCACAGAGGAGCAGAGCAGGGCCACAGGGGACTCCAGACTCCGCGCCCTATGGGGCCCCATGGCCAAGGCGGCAGAGAGGATGAAGAGGACGTAGAACATCCGGTAAACGCCATGATGAAGCCCACTCAGCAGGAAGAAGCTATCAGTAGCTACTTTCAGACCAGTGAGGTGGGCAGCTATGATTCTACAGATATGGGCATGGGGGGTGAGTACGAAGACAACAGCCAGAACATGATGTGGACAGACGGCAGCGGCGGAGCACCGCACCAGCAGCCCCCGCACCCTCAGCCTCCCCGGCGTCATGGCGGCCGCAGAGTAGACCGGCTGGATATAAACATTCAGATTGACGAGTCTTACTGTGTGGATGTGGGGGACGGTCTGAAGCGCTGGAAGTGTCGCATGTGCGACAAGTCCTACACTTCCAAATACAACCTGGTCACACACATCCTGGGCCATAATGGCATCAAACCACATGCCTGTCCACATTGCGGGAAGCTTTTCAAGCAGCCCAGTCACCTCCAAACGCACCTGCTGACCCACCAAGGAACGCGGCCTCACAAGTGTACAGTTTGCAAGAAGGGCTTCACCCAAACCAGCCACCTGAAGCGACACATGCTCCAACACACCGACGTCAAGCCATACAGCTGCAGGTTCTGCCGACGGGGCTTCGCTTATCCCAGCGAGCTGCGAGCGCACGAGGTGAAGCACGAGCGCGGCCGCTGCCACGTCTGCTCGCAGTGTGGCATGGAGTTCCCCACCTACGCTCACCTCAAGCGGCACCAGACCAGTCACCAAGGCCCCCACACCTTCCAGTGCACCGAGTGCAACAAGTCTTTCGCTTATCGAAGCCAGCTCCAGAACCACCTGTTAAAGCATCAGAGCCCGAGGCCTTACACCTGTTCCCAGTGCGGCCTGGAGTTTGTACAGCTCCACCACTTGCGTCAGCACTCGCTAACTCATAAGGTACTTCCTCTGATTTTACCTCCTCACACCTTTAATTACAAACACACTTTAAACATTTGCTTATGCAGCCCTTTTTTTTCTTTAGAACAAGGAATTATCCTGAACAGAAGTTCTGCAGGAAGTCCTTAAACCAGAGTTTACTATAAACAATTTTGTTTGATATTTTTTCGCTGCTGGCAAAGAGAGTGGCACAAAGTATCTCTTAGAAAGGCATCGTGGTACAACAAGTGTTAGGGTTTGTTTTAAACAATTATTATTTTTGCTTTAAACAAAATCTTCAATACATCTTTGAAACCTGTTGTGTTGGTATAAAATATATCTACAGTGATAGGTCATTACCTTAGACTAGGACAACTTTTATTGTCAAATGAAATTTCGCTTTTGTACAGCTTTTAGACAGTGAATGAGCAGCTTAGCAGTGAAATTAACATTTCCATTCCATAAAGTGCAGCAGTGATCAAATGTAAACAGTGTGGGAGAAAAAAAAACATGGTGCAAAAACGCATTGATATGGAAGTTCAGAGGATTAGTATATATGGTGCAGATATGCAGTATTTTGGTTTGGTGTTATCAATATGATGCAGAGTCTGTCATGATTTAGTTTGTTCAACAATTCAGCAGTCTGATGGTGTTCGGGGAGAAGCTGTTGCAGAATCTGATGGTCCTGCATCGAATGCTGTGAAGCCTCTTCCTAGAGGGCAGCAGGGAGAACAGTCCATGGTGGGGGTGTGAGGGGTCATTGATGATGTCACGGGCTCGGGACACGCAGCGCTGGGATGATGTCTTTAATGGACAGAAGAGGAACCTTGATTATACTCTCTGCTGTTCTCACCACTCTCCTCACCTTCCTCCAGTCTTAGGCGCTGCAGCCTCCACAGCACACAGTGAGACCGCTGGTCAGAACGCTCTCTATGGTGCTTCTCATGCTCCTCATCCTCTGCAGGAAGTACATGCACTTCTGTGCCCTTATGACCAGTGAGGTGGTGTTTACATTCCAGGTGAGGGTGTCTGTGATGTGCACCCCCAGGAATTTAGTGCTGCTGACCACCTCTACAGCTGAGCTGTTGATGACCAATGGAGCTGGCTTCATGGACTAAAACTGGTGGTTTGTTCTGAGCCTGATAACTAAAAGATCTGCCGCCAATTGTAGAAATTCTAGCAACCACTTGTAACAATCAGATGTCTGGTAGAAGATGCAGCTTGGTTATTTAGGGGATAAATTTCAGAAGGGGGCTTTTAAATTATATTCTTGATTGAACATGTAGCCATTGAAAGGAAGCTTAAATGGGAGGATTAGGATTTATTTTGAGGATTTGTTATTAACATGAACATAATGAAGTTGTTAGACATGTTCTCCTAAGATCTGTCCTTTATGGGAGAACGCTGAAAGGAAAAAAAGCATAAAATTTAGTTTCAAGTTTGCTATAAGTAGTGCAGGGGACATGGGAAATACCAAAACAGAAAATTTAGCAAACACACAAAACATTATCTGTGGTAGAAACCAATAAAGTTAATTGTTCATCAGCATCATCGTGCTGCTTATGTTCAACTAGGATTAGTCCTTACTGAAGGAAAACCAAAGGTTCTGCATTGCCTCTGTCTAACAAATGGATTAAATGGCTCCTTAAAATAAGTAATGATGTATCTGATTAATCTGATTTAAAGTATGTTCATGTGTGAGAATGGTCCAGTCAAAGCCAAAGTCAAGTGGAGACATGGCTCAGAGTTATTGCAGTACAACAACTTTCCCCCGGGGTGCCAAATAAAAACCCAGATAGGACCCGTCTGCAGAAACAGATTGAAGGGAGGGGCTGTTTTCAGGGGGCAATCTTTCGTAAACTTTTTTTTGACTCAACAAATGCTTTGTGACACCATCAGTGTGTGAATTGGTGAATGACTGAATCTAGTGTCAAGGGCATTGTTCAAGTCCTCTGACTAAAAAAAGTGTTATAAAGGTACAGGCCAGTTACAATTACTCCTACAGTGCTGAGAGAATTAAGTATATCAGTAAAATACTTAAATAAAAAATTAGTTAAAGTGTAATGTTATGTCCATTCTAATCACTCAATAAGTCTAAATGTATAAATTGATCAATATGAGCTCTGATGTTAGGCTAAAGGAAACAATCATACTAGTAGAGCCAGCAACAGCAGCACCACCGGTCAAAGGACTGTTCAGGATTATTGCATCAGAAATGAATAGACTGAAGATCAGTTTAAAGTTGTAAAGTTAATCATCCCTCTGCTGCAGAAACTAAACATTCCTCCTAAAAACACCACACCTCCAGCTAAGGGTAGGCATTTAATGTATCCTATATTTTTTATTATAAATTTCTTGTCATAATGCTATTTAGAATTTATCGTCTAAGTCGGAGGTTTTCAACAGGGGGTTTGCGACCTCTAGGGGTCCACAGAGGTACTGCATGGGGGTCACGAAAGTTTTGGTTGGTTCGATTTTTTTTATATTCCCCCCTGCAATTTTTTTCCACTAATTGAAATGTCTTTAAATCCACATTAACAGGAATTCAACACATTGTAGCAAATAGATAAATGGAGGCAGAAGATGTCTTTCAGTCATCAATGCACACATTCAGCAACAGACAGGAGCTCTTTCAAGCTGGGCACCGTTTTCATTCACAACACCTGTCCCATCAACCAGGAATCAGAATCAGAAATACTTTAATAATCCCAGGGAGAAATTACTTTCATTACATTACTCCGTCTGAAACAGAGTTACTATAGGACCAATTTGATATAACACAATTGCATATAATATATATAATTAGGGGGTCCCCGCTCCATCTGGCCATCAGTTTGGGGTCCTTGGCCTGGAAAACGATGAAGACTCCTGCTCTAAAAAATAAGTTAGAATTATTGATGATTAAAAAAACTCAAGAAATGGGTGAATTGGGAATTTTATTTTTAGTATTTTTCTTCATTTATTTTCATTGAGACATTGAAAAATATGAAGAATATGATTACATGCAGTTACTATGGGATGTTTAGCAATATAAATGACCCTTCTTTATGTAACTGGAGCCCTGAGGAAGACTATTTATATTTGCATTTTTTATTACCGTACTATGGGGCTATGATTGCTGTGGCCTGCAGTCATAACTATACAGTTAGTGAAGAACGACTACAAATAATTAATTAAATGTTTTCATCATCAGTTGTATCTGTATCTAACTACATGAAAACATTTTAAGGGCATGTCACCCAGCCCAACCTCAACTTGTTTCAGAGACTGTTGCAGCTCAAGCTGCACTTGTGTAAACAATACATTCTATAATTCCAAAAAAGTAAAAAAAAAATAAAAAAAAAATGGACTTTGTTTCCAACTTTGAAGACTTTTTACTTCCCATCCAGAACGTTTTTTAAAAACTGTTTAAAAAAACAAAACAAACCGGTTTTATTGTCAAATTTTGATTTGTGGTTTTACCAAATTGCTTTTTTTGCTTTTATTTTCAATTCAGCATCCAGATTGTTTTGAAAGAAGAATCAAAAGTCAGAAAAAATTAGAAGCCACACAGATTTATGAACCAAATCATTCATTTGTGCAAAGATTTTAGTCTGATGACATTTTGATGAACGGCCTGATCTGCCTGATCCCTCCAGGACGGCTTGGTTTCCAGTCTTGCAGACGAGACCCAAGACCGCATGGTCCCTTCTCACCCTGTTCTGCAGAACATGCTGCTTTTCCATAAATGATTCACCAGGTGAATAAGAATTCTAGTTCTACCCAAGCAGTTGGAAACCTGACAGAAAATGCCACCACATCACAGATTTAAAGGTTTTCTGATGAACCTGACTTCTTGTGAAGGTGTGGAGTGATGCTCTATACCCTGTTCTCCTCTCTGGTCTGTTTTGGGCCTGCTGTCTGATTGCTGCTCCCCCTTGTGGACAAACTGATTGTTGAGCAAAGGGTGAAATGAGCAGTGAACTTATAAAAATATTTCTGCTCAGATTTCAACAAGAATCTCTTTTCTGAGCATTTTAATGTTTAAAAAAAGTTAGCGTTTGATAACTTCTACACTATTTATTGCTGGATTATTGTTATTTGTATTATCATGCATGGATTCCGGTTGTTGGTCTACAGCAGGGGCGTCAAACTAAATGCATAAATATGGACATATTAAACTCCTAAAGGAGAGACTTTGCAAGTTTAAAGGTGAGAAATGACATATTTTTCCCCATACATGCCCTCACAATATCCATGCATCTGCTTCTCCTCTCCTCCCATTCACCTGCACAGTACTGCTGTTATTTCAGGTTTTTGCAAAAGGAGCAAACATCCTAAACAGCTAATCAAAAGCTTGTGCTTTTGCTATTTTAATACAAAAAGTAGGTGTCTTCCTCTGTTTATAACTTTTAGTCACAGTTCAATGGGTACCAAGCATCTGTCACTGCTTCAGGCAACAGAGGACGGGGCCAGCATAGCATTCTGGGATTTGTAGTATGAGCAAACATTATTTGTTCTATTATTTTTAGGGCTGAAATATTTAATCGTGATTAATCGATTATTGAAATAATCGTCAACTAATTTAGTATTTGATTAATCGTTAACTGGAGTGTAGAGACTCTAAAACCTGCCTTTAGCTGACACAGCGACCCCTTTTGAGCAGCAATTATACCAAAATTGTAAAAAATAATATGTAAACATTTTGCATTTAAGATATAAATCGTTTTAGTCTTTCAGTCTGTTTTATCTAGAACTCCTCCAGTGGAAAAGTTTTAGTTTCACCTGGTTTCAATTTTGCAAAAAGTCTTCTTTAAGGAACCTTTTGCTCTCCGATTATTAATCGATTAATCGAAAAAATAATCTATAGATTATTCGGTTTTCAAAATACTCGTTAGTTGTAGAGCTAGTTATTTGTTCCACAGCTAAAATGGGGAATCAGTTTGTATTAGCTTCCATAAATTCAGCTCCTAAGAGGAGCAATAAGAGAGCTTCTCCACATGCAGGACATTGCTGCAAATGTGTCATCATCCTATGGTTAAAGATTGTAAGAGCAGCATCATGCTAGCATGCTATGTGGAAAAACTTTCTCAGAAAAGGGAATTTGTCTTTGTAATTTATTACAAAGCATCAGAGAGGAAAAAGAAAAGCTGCTGTAGTTGCTGTGTGTTGATGATGTTCGTGCTCTGCAGGGAATGAAGGGCCACAAATGTGAAGTGTGCTCCCGAGAGTTCACCCTGTCTGCCAACCTCAAGAGGCACATGCTCATCCACAACAGTGTCAGACCCTTCCAGTGTCACGTCTGCTTCAAGAGCTTCATCCAGAAGCAGACCCTCAAGACCCACATGATTGTCCATCTGCCTGTGAAGCCGTTTAAATGCAAGGTGAGCATTTTGACGCCATGGGGGTCATAAATGAAATGCAATGAGAAGGATCACCCTGGTCCCTTTATTCCCTTTTGTTAATGACTCATTTAATGCTTTAAATTATGACCTTTTATAAATGGAGTTTTTTTTTTGCGTCCAGGTCTGTGGGAAGTCTTTCAACAGAATGTACAACCTGCTAGGCCACATGCATCTCCATGCTGGCAATAAGCCTTTTAAGTGTCCTTACTGCACCAGTAAGTTCAACCTGAAGGGAAACCTCAGCAGACACATGAAGGTCAAGCATGGGATGGACGTCTCTCCAGAGGGACAAGGTGAGGACTGCTTTATTCTTTTAGATTCAGTAGGTTCAGTAAACATCACACGATCTCAGGTTAATGGATTCTATCTATTTAACATTTGAAGTTGATTTCAGGTTGTTTTTTTTTTTAACTGTTGATGCTTTCAGGGAAACTACCTTCATTTCATTTGATTTGTTGCGTTGTGAGGGATTTGCACAAACTAGCCAGAAAACAACTGAAATTTTTCAAAAAAAAGTCTTAATTTATTCCAAAAATGTTCAAAAAACGATAAACTGGGTCCAAAAAGAGGTCAACAAAACAGAATTCAATTCAGGCTTAACATAAAGAACTCGAGCACAAACTGACCTAACAAACAGGACATGAGGGAAACTTAAATAGTGGCTGATCAGACCACTGTTGACACACAAGTGGGGTAACTGACTAACAAACTAATAAACAAATAAACTTAATTAAACAGATAAATACTGACCAGACACTAAATACTTTTTAGATTTAACTAATTGACAAAAATTCCCAAACTAAGAATATTTAAACAAATGATAAACAAATGTCCCTTCCCATTACAAATGGTTTGATCCGCTGATTAGCCTGCAACCAATTGAGGAAAGCTGGAGCTCATTGCAGCCCTCCACCAGCAGATCCCAAGGAAACTTGCAACTCAAAGAAGAAAGAAATTAATCAATTGCATCTTGACAAAAAAGCAACCTGACAAATAAAGTTAACTAAATGTGTGCACTGCAAAAACTTTACTTAAAGTCAGGCTAATGAAAATATATGAAATGTGCAACTGATTTTGAAAATGAAAAATGTAAAAGTTACCACACAGCTTCAGAGTGTGACAGCAGGCTGTCACATGCATCCAAAGACTTTTTATTTTCTTGTCTTCTATAGAAGACTATGAATAATAACTAAGGAAGTTACTTCTGGAAGCATTGGATTATGGATGTGTGACGGAAACCTTGAACTCAAACATCTGATGCCTTTACATGGAGCCTAGACCTCTTACAGGAAATGTTACAGACAGAATAGATTTTTCTTTACCAAGTCACAGCCCTGACATAACAATGAGCCTTAATAAGTTATCACTCTGCCTATCTAATTTAAGGTTTTGGGCAAAGAATGTCAAAAAAAAAATGCAGCCTATCAATGTGTTCCTGTTTTTATTAAATAAAAAGGAACTAAAGATCGATTTTTTATATAGGATCGGATGGAAAAGGTTATAACATACTGGACTTTTTACTAAACATAAGGAAATGGATAAAAACCGCTACCTTTAGTCTAACTCTAAAGCCGGGCATACACTGTACGATGTTTTCAGTATTTGCACGCAGCTACAGCTCATACTGTACGACGAAACTGCAGGGTTTAAAAGTTCACAGTGAAGCCTGCATTGTTCTATTAATATATTTGTATGTATGTATGTATGTATGTATTTATATGTTAATGTAAATCTCTTCACATTTTTTTTTACTATTCCCCTTTTCAAAGATCACATCATGGGAAGTTTCCTGCAAAAAATTTGCCTCTATAATAAAATGTTGCTTTTTTTTGTACTTCAATCAGCAGAAACTCTCCCAGAAATGGAAAGCCAGGGTGAATATGAAGGCCAGAACTTCAACTTTACAGCACCAGACAATATGGACAACAGCGGCTCCCAAAACCTCACTAAACTCACCACAGCAAACATGGAGGACATGGAGGAGTATTACAATTTTGGGAAAGATACGAGCAGCTACACCACGCCCTGAGTATTAACGGACCACAGGAGACGAATGATTCTCAATTACAGAGCGGTTTTCAGAAACTCTGGGAAAGTGTTTTTATTTTCCTTACTGCTCAGACCTCCCACCAGAATCTAAGAGACGACGAACCTTTAGACGATGGGAGGAGTCCTGGAAGGAGGCGCTTAGGTCCCACCTCCTGCAGCAAAGACTCTGGAGCTGCTGATGCGGTCCGAAGCTCCCTTTGGATAACAAGACTCACTGAAACACAAACTGTCACTGATGGACGCTCAAATATGTATGTTGTATGTATCAGTTATTAAGGAGGAGAAAAAAAAACACTGCAGATGTGATAAAAAAAAAAAAGACATTCAGTCTTTGCCATCTTAGTTCACGTGTCGTATTTTGGACTGAAGGCCAGTTAGAAACATGTTGCAGCTCATCGTCCTCCATGTTCACCACTTACTAAACTGATCTTTTGATATATTTACACATTTCATCCGTTCTGTATCAGGTTGTCTGTTTCTCCTAGGCTTTACACTTAGAGCTTAACAAATTTCAGCTTCTGAAGCATTTTGGGTTTTTTTTTGTCCCATCCACCCGATGCGTTCAATATTTGCTACTTTCCTATGCTGGCCTTAATGACTAAACTACTGGCATGTAAAAGCCCTTTCACTGTACAGAGGTTTCGGCGACATGCAGTGTGTTTACCCACTGTTTGTATTTCACCTGGTTTAGCTTTACATGAATAATCTATCCCGTGTAGTGAATATATCACTCTAGTTTTTGAATTACTGAGTAAATGATACGAAGCACTTTTTTGTTGAAAGTTTTTTGTTGGGGAGAAAAGGTTGTAAAATCTTTCAAACCCCAATTATGGCAATATTATTAAACTATATATTATTGAACATATGTTGCTTCCTAAGTAGGGTTATTTGAACCTGCTGTCTCACAGTTTTTTTGGAGAACCAGGAGTTTTTTTTTTTTTACTGTTATCATTGTAGAACTGGGTTTACCTCTCAGTTCAATTCAATTCAGTTTATTTCTATAGCGCCAATTCACAACACATGTCATCTCAAGGCACTTTACAGTTCACCAGATCATACAGGCAGGTTGATTCAAAGTTTTCTTTCGAAGGAAACCAGTTGATTGCATCAACTGGAAGGCAATCCCTCACACTAAGCATGCTTATAGCGACAGTGGAGAGGAAAAACTCTCTTTTTAACAGGAAGAAGCCTCCAGCAGAACCAGGATCAGTGTGAGCGGCCATCTGCCGAGGCCGACTGGGGTTTAAGGAGACAGAAGCAGAGATACGAAAGGCAACAGTATAAGGTGGCCCCTTCCAGGAAACACACAGCCAGGCAGACCAGCTCCGAGCCAGTTCCCATGTCGGACGATGAAGAGAGCACATCCAGCCAGTCATAGTCAGAGAAACACCGAAATACAAGCTGATCATGAACATCTATGAACAAAGGTGTTGATGGCAGCAGCACAGCTGATATTTCTCTCCAGGATGGAGTCACAGTCAAACAGGAACAGACCAGATGAAGCTGCTATGAGAAAAAGCAGAGAGTGGGAAAATAGATAGAATGATGAAATAGGGGTCTCTATGTCCTCCAGAAGTCTAAGCCTATAGCAGCGTAACTATGGAGATAGCTCAGTTCAACCACTTTAGATTAAAAAAATAATAATAAAAAAAACGTTGACCTCCTGGTTGACATAAAAAGTTCTCCGATTTAAAATAACTAAATAAAAAAGTGGTTCACCAGTCATGTTCTTTGGGTTCTGTTTTTTATTGGCGGGGGGATCGCCTGCCCCCCTTCTGCTGCAGGTCAGCCCTGCTATGTCCCTGAGGTCTAAGTGGCTTTTTTCAGATAAATTAAGGTTTCTTGTTTACATAATGAATGTAGTTATTTTGTTAGGGGACTGATTTAAACTAGTTTCAGTTTATTTACTTTGTACAAAATTACAAGTGTCCTTTCAAAGCCCTCAAGTCACGTGCAATCCATACCTAACTTTGTAGAGTCAAACATAAATGATTCAAAACTGGACCAATTAAAGTGAACCATCATGGAGGCTCAGGGAGCTTCTATATAAACACATGGGAGAAGAGCATTTAATGTTATGAGACGAGACCCAAACTTCAGGGTTCCTGACACACTTATGTCTAAATCCTACATTTTCTAGAATTGTAAAAGGGAGTTCTCTCTGAATCTATTACAGATATTTCTAAAGTGGTTTTAAACATATAATAGCCAATGTAGGGATCAGGTCCCTCTGAAGCCTCTAATTCGTCTGGTTCAGATTTGTTCCTTTATTAGTGGAACAAAAAAGAAAGAAGTACTTTGGATTTATCAAAAATCTTCTGGATTTATGATTCAAAGCATTGGTAATTTTTTAGAGTGCATCTCAATACATCCTGTCGGTTATTGGATATAGACCACAAATAGTGCAGGTTCTTAACCTGGGGTGTCAAAGATTTTATCCTTTAAATTATATCCTCATCAAAACTGAAAATATTAGCAAGCCCCATCAAATTTAAAAACTGAAATCAGTTAAAGCCCCTGTCACACCTTGATGATTTAGACGGGTATGCCTGACACATGAAAAATCTGGCAAAAAATGCTGGCATATGTTGGATAAGTTATGGGTAGGTTTTGTATAAGTTATAAGCATGCTAAAATACGCTGGCAAACGTCGACATATGGCGAGTACATCGAGAAATGTTCAGTGTATGCCAGCATTTTAGAAGATTCTGTGATGTCAGGCATAAGCTGGCTAAATCGGCATGGTATGAGAGGGCTGTTATAATTTATAATCTCAAGTTTCAATCCAGCATGGCATGGGGGGGTCATGGTTTCATCTCCACCTCAAACCATCTGGATAAGCTGAACTCTGAGATCCTTAATGAATATATTGAGGGTAGTAATGAGCTGAATGAAATACTGAAGCCTGTCAATACCCGATTCGTTCTGCGCATGCGCGAACAGATATACATCGGGTGTCCATAAATAATGTAATTATGGTATTAAAACTACTTATTTCTATCCTTAACTCACTAAAGAATAGTAATACACATCTGTTAAAAATGTTTTAGGACTTTTATTTGACAATTTCTATGCTTTTCACATTTTCTTCTTTAAAGCGCTTCTCTGACGTCATCAGACTTTTTTTTAAAAAACTTTATTTAAACAGAGTAAATACAAATAAGTAAGGCAACATTACAAATCGTTGGAAGGCATAGTAGAGGCAGATTTAAAAAAAAATGGAAGTAAAAGGCATCAAACACATAAACATGCCATATAAAGTTAAGGTTAACCGTTGCTAAATGGCTTAATAAAAAAAAAAAAACTAAAAAAAAAAACTTTTTAACCATTGCATTCTCTGCAGCTTACATCTAATGCGGACATGCTTGAGTGAAATTATTTTTTATTTATTATTTTTGAAAATCAAAACAAAACCCCGCAGTATTATTATTAAAGTGTCGATCAACGTTCAGAGTAGGACTGGAAATCAGAGCAGATCGTATCTATTTGGGTTTTAGTTCAAATGCTTTCATTGAATTATTAAAGTTGGGTTTATATTATTTTTATTTCCCTTTTCGTTCCCATAATGTCAGAAAATCCAACGAAACAGAAACAGAACTGCACGGCGTATCTTTGGCGCCATCTAGTGGTTAAATTCAGTTGCGCATTCAGGCTTTGGTTTTGCAAATGTGCATTCAAGGAACTGACACAAATCTTGTGTGTTGTGGTTTTAGCATTTTTAGATAATCTGACTTATTTTGGTAATAAAAAAAATGAAATATTTCACATGTTTTGATCTGTAAATTTGTTCTCACACGATGCTAATCAGCTTTTAGGTTAAATCCTGACTCTGTGACCCATTCCTGTCCTACAGATAGCTCCTCATATGTTCTTTGCTTCTTTTCTTCCACCTGCTTTCTAAAACAACTGACCAGGTTCCTATTTTTTTGACTACATTCTCAAAAGCATGTTGGTTTTTCACTGAATGAAGTCATTTTTTATATGGACCATCTTCCCCAGCCTGTTTCTGATATTATTAATATCCTCCTGCTGTTGGGTAAATATCATATCCACTGTGTTAAATGGAGACATTCTAAACCTTCCTTTCATTGGTTTATTGATGACTTTAAAACATTTTTTTCTTCTCTTAAAAAGAGAGAGAAAAAAAAAGACAAATATGCCAAAAAATTGAGACTTGATTTCTCCAAACATCTGCTATTCTAGGTGCGTTAACCTTTTTGTTTTTATTATTTCTATGGCTCTGTCTATGTTTGATTTAAATGTTTGCTAAGATAAATCCCCTGATAGTTGCTTTACTTTTTTGTTTTCTTTTATTGTAATTGATCTTTATCTGTTCATATACACCCTTGCTATCCTCTCTGAGAGTATTTTTTTCATATAAATATTTTTAGATTTAATAATAATAAGATTAATAATAAATAAAAATTAAAGAATTCAGGTGTAATCCAAAAGTAAGAGAAGTAAAATATAAAATTATAAATAGTTGTTATCCAACAGCAGAAACTCCTAAGAAAAGATTTGGATTTGAAGAAGAATTTTTTTAAACTTTTAAAAACACTTTATTTACANTAACATAGTTATGTATAATATATTACATTTCTGACTGTATATCTCTGTAATTATTACACACTGTAGCTTTAAGATATATTTATGTGTTTGTTCATTTATTCCTTCATGAATTTATTTTAAGATCTTTTGCTTTTTTATCTTTTATTCTGTAAATCTAATATGATTTAATATTTTTTTATTGGCTAATTTACAACACAAGTCATCTCAAGGCACTATTCAGATAAAAATGTCGGATAGTTTTACTTCTTAAGCCCTTCTTTTTTTCAGACTTTTTTATATCATCTTATGCTGTTATATTGAAATGCGGGGGCAGTTTTCTCATTAGGGCTGGTGCAGTTTATAGCTTTAACCACCATATAGATTATGTTTATCCAATCCAAACATTTCGTTTCTGCGATATAGAAATACTGTTACGGTAGACATTTTTCACAAAGCTGATTTTTCCAGTTGAGTTTATCATCAATAATAAATCCAGAGAAATCAAACTTGATATCTCCATTTAAATAGTTTTAGGATAAAGGCTGCTCCGTGGCGCAGTGGGTTGCACTGCTGCCTTGCAGCAGGAAGGTTCTGGGTTCTATTCCCAGGTACTCCAGCTTCCTCCCACAATCCAAAAACATGACTGTTAGGTTAATTGGCTAAATTAAACTAAATCTCTAAATTCTCCTTAGGTATGAATGATTGTTTGTCTCTGTGTTGCCCTGTGATGGAGTGGGGACCTGTTCAGGGCGTACCCTGCCTCTCGCCCATAGACAGCAGGAGATGGGCACCCCTGGTGACCCCACTTGGGATTAAGTGTGTTAGAAGATGGATAGTTTAGGATTATAATATGATGGTTATGTACAGGAAGGTTGAGATTGTCAACAATAACCTGGTTTTGAACTGTAAACTC